CTCCTAGGTCCGGTGTCATGCACGAGTTGGCCCTCCAGACACAAGCACCGGGTTCTCATACAACTGGGGTTGAGGGGCGCAAATCTCATTCCATACAAACACGCACAACTGGACGGACGATGTGGACTGAGTTGAGCGACAATCATCGGCCTTCTTAGTTACGGTACTGGACGTAGCGTGATGGTCTCGGACTCGGATCTCGCATGCAGCAGAGGAACCGCATGGGACGGACGGATGGACGACGTGAACAGAGTTGGACAGCCTTCCTAGCCACGGCGCTTGACGCGCTGTGATAGTCTCAGGTTCGAGGCACCCATGCTGACGGAGTCGAGACGCACCTTTCCCAATAGCGCGGGGAGTGGCAGTTAGGTGCCTGTTGATGTCCGATGAGATGCAGGTAAGGTAGAATGTGGTGGTGTGGTGCGGCCGGTGATTGTCTACAGCAGGTTTTCGTGGATGCGCATGTGGCCGGATAAACCTATGCGGAGCATTAATGTGCGATGGCAGTGTGGGCAGTGGAGGCGGATGCGGATGCGGCGAATGTAGGTTGGTGCACCAGGTACTGGTTCGCCAGTCTCTGTGTGCTGGATCCGCAAGTGACCCACCAGGCCGATGCGCGAGGTGAATGTTCGGGACAGTGTAGACACGAGAGGTCGGTGATGTCAGTGTTAGCTACGGAGATGGTAGTAGTGGGCGCACTCATCGACAGAGCGGAGCGTGGTGGGCGTACAGTGTGCACTGGGTGTGATAGAGCTGCCGATGGTGGGCGCGCAGAGCGACGGAGTAAGGGTGGGGCTAGCAAGGTAGGTGTGATGTGTGTGCTGGGTGTGTCGAGGCTGTGGTTAATTCCGCTCGCATAGACACGCATGTGGCCAAATAGGCCCATGCGGTACATGAATGTACTAGGGCAGTGTGGACAGTGGAGGAGGATGCGGCGGATGTAGGTTGGTGCTTCAAGCACTGGTTCGCCAGTCTCTATGCGATGGATCCGCAAGTGATCGGCAAAGCCGATATGTGAGGTGAAGGTGCGGTCGCAATGAGGACAGGCGAAGACCAGGTCCTCACCACTGGTGTCGACGGTGGCAGTGTTGGTGTTTGCAGATGTGTCAGGACTGTGTGCGGTGTTGCCATGCCAGGCAGACACCACAATGACAGACGTCGAGGCAGGGGAGGCGGAGGCGGAGGCGGAGGCGGAGGAGGAGGAGGAGGAGGAGGAGGAGAATGAGGAGGGGGAGGAGGATTGGACTGATGGTTTAGAAGAGGGGTCAAAGTTAGCTTGCGGCGGAAGGGACGAGGGAGAGGCGGACGGAGAGACGACGGCTGGTGCAGTCCGAGTGTTGCAGTTGGTCCAAAGATGTTTAACAAGTTCATTTTAATGCCCGGAATGTCCGTTGACACCGTGGACAGGTTGAAGGCGGTTGTGCGTTGGCGTTACGAGGTGGATGCAGCTTCTCGTTTGTCTTTCGCGACGGCGACGCGGTTTGCCTCATAGATCGCCCGCCTGTCTTCACTGTTCTCCTCCAGGTTGGTCCCTTTTGAGCGATGTCTTTCCAGTTGGATGGGCTGATCTACAGACGCTTTAGGGAGATCTTTGGAGTGTCCTTGTAACGACGGACTTGGCCTCCTCGGCGGCAGAAACCCGTGGCGACGTCTCCGTAGAAAAATCGGTTGGGTAGCCGCTCGTCGTCCATCCGCACGAGGTGGCCGCTCCAACGCAGTTGCAGTTGTCTCCGCATGGCGTTGATGGTGAGAATTCCCGTCCGTTCCAGCACATCAGTGTCGGGGATTCGATCCTGCCGGTTCAGCCTCAGGATACGACGAAGACAGCTGAGGTGGAAGTGGTTCAGTCGGCGTGCCTGCTTTGTGTACACTGTCCATGTCTCCGCTCCGTACAGCAGCGTCGGCAGGATGACGGCCTTGTACATCTTCAGCTTCGTGCACAGTTGGAGACCATGACGATTCCAAACAGTGCTTTGGGGGCGGCCGACGGCTTGACTGGCTTTCGAGATCCTGTTGGCGACTTCGTCATCGATCTTGGTGTTGCGGGAGAGGGTACTGCCCAGGTACGGGAAGTTCTCCACCACTTGCAGTTGGGCTCCGTTCACACTGATTTGCGACGCGTTGGGGAGTGTGGCTGAGTTTGGTGAAGTATCGGGGATACGATCCTGCCATCGCAGCTTCAATATCCGACGGAGACAGCTGAGGTGGGAGTGGTTGAGTCGACGTGCCTGTTTCTTGTACACCGTCCAGGTATCCGCCCCATACAGCAGTGTCGACAGGAGGACTGCCTTGTACATCTTCAACTTAGGGTTGAGATGGGGACCGTGACGGTTCCAGACGGTGTTCTGCAGACGGCCGATTACTTGACTGGCTTTGGAAATGTCGACGATTTTGGTGCTGTGGGATAGGGTGCTGCCCAGATACGTGAGGTTGTCCACCGCTTGCGGTTGGGCTCCGCTAACGGTGATATGCGGTACACTTTGGACTGTACTGAGTGGCGGTTAGTGTACGACAGCAGTCTTCTCCGTGCTGATGGTCGGACCGAATTTTTCGCAGGCGACAGAGACGAGATCCATGCTCCTTTTCATATCCTCTTCCCGGGTAGTGTTGAGGGCGCAGTCGTCGGGGAAGAGACGTTCGTTGACGGTGGTTGTAGACACACGTGACTGGAAGTGCATCCGCCTGTGGGTGAGGAGGTGGCCGTCCATCCTGTAGGCGATGCAAATCCCGGAGCGTTCATCACGATAGGCGCCCGTCATAATGGAAGTGCATATAAGACTGAAGAGGATGGGCGCGATGACGCAGTCCTGCTTCACACCGTTGGTCACCGCAAATGCCTCTGAGACATATCTACTGTCCGCAACTCGCGCCATCATGCCATCGTGGAGTTGACGCACCATCTGAGTGAATCGCTCGCTACAGCCGCATTTTGGCATGATTTTTTACAGTCCGTCACGATTCACTATATCGAAGGCTTTTATCAGATCCAGGAAGGTAGAGTACAGGTGGGTCCGCATCTCCTGACACTTCTGTTGCAGTTGGCGAGCGATGAAGATCATGTCCGTGGTCTCAGGATGACGGCGGAAGCCACACTGGCTTTCCGGCAAAAGACCTCGTTTCAGGTGATTATTTAGATGGTTGAGATGGGTGCGAGCGAAGATTTTCTCGGCGATGTTCATAAAGGAGATGCCTAGATGGTTGTCGCAGAGCTGGCGGATTCCTTTTCGCTTGTATAGATATGCGATTGTGGCGTACTTAAAATCCTGTGGGACTTCTCCTTGACGTCACATCTCCTGGGAGGCCTAGTCAGATGATCCATGGTTTGGTGGCCAATATGCTTGTAGATTTCAGCAGGGATCGCGTCCGATCTGGATGCTTGCCCGCTGGAGAGCTGTTTCACGGTCCTGATGGTTTCCTGGAGAGAGGGCGGGAGGTCGAGGTCGGCATTGGTCCCCATTGGAGGCAGACTAAAAATGGCGGCGGTTGAGGACGCTGCGGAAGTGCTCGGCCAATCCCTTTAGACTTTGTGTCCTTTTAGTGAGTATGGCACTGCCGTTCGGCGCCTATAAGGGGTGGAGTACCTTTGGTTTTCTGGCCGAAGACAGCTTCGATCGCGGAGAAGAAGTACTTCCATTCGTTGCAGTCCGTGTAGCCTTAGATCTCCTCGGCCTTGCGAGCCGTCCAGGCGTCCTGCATTTCACGCAACCGCTGTTGCAAAAGGTGGCGTCTACGGTAGAAATCTGCTTTGTTGTCGTCGGTGGGGCGGTCGATGTAGGCGACCGTCGATGGCTTGTAGCAGACAGGTCAGTCGTCCCACGATACCATTCCGGATGGCAAGGGCGATGCCCAAGTCCCGTCGTTCTGCCTTGGGGTGACCGCTCCAGAAGATGGTATAACCGTCACCCACATCCTCCAGTTGACCGTGCTCGGAAAACAGGGTCTTTCTGAATGCAGCGATGTCCACCTTGAGGCACGCCAGTTCCCAATCCACTAGCCTTGCCCTTCGATCTGGTCAGTTGCTCCTCGGATTGTCTAAGAGGGTACAAAAATTCCAAGCTGCCAGATTGTGAGGACTCAGCTTCCCAGTCTGGTGAGTGGGGCGG